GTTAACCGTATACTTATGAATGTTAGCCTTTTACATGAATATGAATGTATTCGATAATTATATTGATGAATAACCACTTGAATTTCCGACTTGGTACTGTTGAAATGGTCTCTAGTTATTTTCTCTGTGTTCCCTTGGGGCCTCCAAAGCAGGGCATTGTCAATATATCATACTCGCCATGACTGAGTCCAGTTCGTCCTCGACGCCTACGGAAATGAGCCCGCACGGTCCCCCACCAGACCGAGAGCTCTTCGCCAGCGTATTGGCTCGTCGACAGAGGCCTCGCATACTGCCCATCCTATCGGCTAGTTGCAGCTGTGGTGGTGCAGTGAGCCTCCTGCTCGGCCCCCGGTCGAAGACTGCAATTCTCGATGTCCTTGTCATGACTGTTCGACGGTGGACCTCCAACTCGGGTAAGGTGTGCATCTTCGACAGTTCCCTGGTGTTTGCCATGCCCGAAGTCACTACTGATGTTTCCATCTACACAACGCCCTCTGCAGCGTCACTCCTCGCGGCGCTTCGTGACTTCCACAGTCAACATCTCAAACGACCAACGACCACAGTTACAATAGGCTGGATGGTCATCCTTGTAGACTGGACTTCTCTCAAAGTTGAGTTCGAGCCCTTGGGGGTCCTCAACCTGGCCCTGCGGTATCTCGATCAGCTAGCCCAGAGCTACGACTTCCCCCTGGTCTTCACTGGCTTGCCCATGACTCTAAACGGGTGGATCATATCGGATATAAAGTACCCCGATCCCCGACCTTGGGTGGTTCCTGGACCTGCCGTTCGACAGTGTTTGGCACAGGGCCGACTATGGCTAAGGCCGGCCTGTGAGGCTTGCGGCTCGATTTTAGCTACCGTATTTACTTCAAGCGGTTGTGAGTACTATGCTGTCAATCGAGGAGAAGAGGGAGTCCGCTTTGAACTTGTGGAAAGCTGTCTTTGTCCCTGTGGAGACTCTTTTCCCCTAGGAGGAGGGGTCCCATCGAGCCGCAATGCACCACGATATTTCCCGTGTAATTGAGTGTACTACTTTTCAACATCAGATGATCGTTCGGAGTGGGGGCATCCTTCAGCTCTCACACAGTCGGATTCTTCTCCTCCTTCTCCCATGGTCTCCTCACTATACGGCCACTCCGGAGGGTTCGGTCTCTCGGGTACCGCAGGGAACCGTACGAGACGTCGCAGGCCCGAGATCAGCGAGGAACAGAAACAGGAGATCAAGGTGCGCGCG